CTTTTCCATTTTAAGCAACAGGAAGGCACTGAGGATGAGACTGGAGTTTTCCTTAAAGGAGTACACATCTGATAAAGAGAACAGGGTTGTAAAAGTATTTCTAAACATACATTTCCCACTAGAATCTCTCTCTGGAGAAAGATGCTTCAGTGGACCTCAGGCATTTGGGGGTGTGAGGATGGATTAATGAATATGGTGAAGTCACCCCAAAGCAGTGTCCAACCTGTAGAACTGGAATTCATATTTTGTGTTGTAGCCTGCCAACTCTTTAATTTGGAGGAAAATTTCCTATTTGATGGTCTCCTTCCTCCCCATGGGGAAATAGCAGCATGTTGGATTATGGGAAGATCAGCAATACCATGAAATTCAAACTTACATCGTGGTGGTAAAGTCATGGCCAAGCTGGCACGGACCCAATATGATTTGTCAGTCCACTGCCTTGTACTAAAAGGAATTTTAAAATAAGGTAATCTACATGTTTTAACCTTCTGCAACTCAACACTTTCCCATGGCATTTAGGACCGTCTCAGTGGGAAATCCATCCCATAATTTAGGAGATCAATGGGACAATGGCACTGAAACCATCTGAGCAGAGTTTAAGGTCCCCTTTGAATGGGAAAGAGCGTGATTCAACGCTGGAAGAGATCTTTCCCGGTCGTCAGCACGTGGCTCTATACCTGATGGGCTCTGGAGAGCTCAACCTTCCCTGCTTCATTCCTTGGATGCACAGACTGAATCGAAAAGGGTCCAAGAGGGAAAGAGTTCCCAAGAAGATACCAGGGCAAAGGAAGTGTGGATTTCACAGGGGAAGGATAACCACTTTAAACCTAAGTCTCGGGCTTCCCTGGTGGCGCAGTGGTTGAGAGTACGCCTGCCGATGCAGGGGACGCGGGTTCGTGCCCCGGTCCGGGAAGATCCCCCATGCCGCGGAGCAGCTGGGCCCGTGATCCATGGCAACCTAAGTCTCTGTTTCCTGAAGAACCGGGAAGACCCATATGTTTAAATTCTGATTCTGTCTCTTGAGTAAATTATTTTAACCCCTGGAGCCCCTGTTCCCTCATTTGTAAACAACCCCTTCCTTAACAATCTCCCAGGATTTTCATGACGATCCTCCCATGGCTGGCTCATGCTCATCTCTTGGTCTTCCTGTCTCAGTGGCCTCCCCTGGTGAGCATTTCTAAGCTACCCTCCACCTCTTCCCAGCCCCAGTCACTCACTTTCACTTTACCCAGGTTTATTTTTTCCCACAGCATTAGTCTGACATTATCTTGTGTTTTGAGCTTGTCTCTCTGACTAGAATGTAACTGTATGAGGGCAGGATCCTGGCATGTGAAATCCGGGGTAGCTCCAGCCCCTGGTTGGTCTTGTTCACTGCTGCATCCCTGGTGCCCAGGCCTGAGCCTAGCACACAGGAGGGGCTCAAACAATTGTTGAATGAATGCGGATCAAATGAGATCATATGTGTGCATAAGCTTCCTGAGCGGTCAAATACTATACAAATACAAGCTAAATAAGACCTCAACTGCGATTTAGGGGCCAGATCTTGAATTTGTCTACATAATCTAGCTGGGTTTTGATGTTTTTCTTTATCATCATCATTAATATTACTAGCCGAACAAAAAACTGCAATTGGCTGTTTGCCAAGTCTGGGCCATACTTTACGTGGGAGCCAGTAAGGAAAGAGTCCCCCCAAATGCTATGTCTATTGACAGTTTCTTACACACATTTCAAGCAAGTTCAGCCAGACTTTGCGGACACTCACAACAGCCAGATGGTCTTATATCCCACCCCAGAACTGATACTCTGGATCTGAAGGCCTTTAAGTGCTTCCATGAACTAAATCTAGACCATATTTTGAGCCCGTTTCCTCTGTAATCCACTTAAGGGACTATAGCCGGCTCACCTAGATTCTTCCTTAACACCTGGCATGGATTATCAAAGCCACTTAGAATCTGCCTTCCATCCGTACTTTTCTATGGACTGTGAGGGAGATGTTGATTTTTCCAGATTACTTTCTTGTATGTAGGGCCAGAGTTGAAAACGTGTCTCTCTCTGGGAAGCACGAGAGCTCTGAAATTTCTTGTTGGTGCCTTTGCTTCAAAAGCAGAAGCCTGATGGATTGCTCTGATTGTGCCGGAGGGCCATTCCCTGGCACGCGGCATATTTACCACCACACTCCACTAAACAGTCCCCGAAGGACCTTCCATTGCTGAAGGGAGGGAGGCAGTTGGAGGCATTTTTTTAAAAGTTTTAAAATAAAATAGAAGGATAAATAGGCTTGAAGCTACTCTATTCCACATGGGTGGCAATAACCACCAGCTGTCACCGGGAAATAGCAGATGTAATTGATAAAGCAACACAAAACTCTTGTGGATCCGTCATCAATAAAGTTAACACCCAAAAAGTCAATGAAAGGGTTCAAAGTAGAACTGGAGAAGCTCCCCAGGTCCTCCAATAATTAAATCACTGAACTACACACAAGCATAATTTTTTAATGCAGATTAAAGAGGAGGATCAGCTGGGCCACTTGCTTTGCTGGGTGAGGCTGGGGCACCATATGGTGCTGAGGAAACCGTCATTAGCTGAGGTGGCAGTGGTGAATGGGGGAGGAAGCGGGACAAGGGGCCGGCAGAAGACAGACCATCATTATTGTGAAGGAAACGCAGGATATAACATTTATCCATAATAAGGAAAGAATGAAATTTCTACCCAGATGGAGCAGGGAATGGATGGTAATATTATTCATTACCACAGCTTAGCATTAAATGTACAACACCTCCTCTAATTTATTGATGGACTGTTTAAGACGGGTGTTAACCTGTTTGTCTTGTATTATAATTGAATTCAGTCTCTAGGCTACAGAAATTTAAGAAGTTCATCCTTGCTCAATCAATATGCTCTCCTTCAGTGACCCATTTCAAGACAGCTTCATACAAAGTAATGTATTTTGTTTTAATAAATTTAAACACTATGACAGCTGCTCAATTTTTATCGGGTGTTTTTTTTTTCCCTTCAGATGTCTCTTTGCTGCCGAGTGAAGCCATGCTCACAATCAATAGTAATTGGTTAATCGGCATCCACGTTGAACGAAGGTGCTAATCAATTTTTGATTAGTTCATCAAACCAGATGCAAAGGCAGCCCGGCCCCAGCCTGACAGATCATCAGGGTTCTACTTGACTTATGGCTCCCTCCCAATATACAACGGCAGCGCTCCTGGACGGGGGAGGGGAGGGGGACAACGTAATTATTAATTTAACCAAATTATTATGAACACAAACAGTTGTTGGCTTATCACTCCCGACTCAGGGGTGATTGATAGAGCTGCAGCAAGGCTGCCTCTGACTTGGTGCAGAGCCGAGAGACCTGGAGTATTCCTTCCTTGATGATGCTCGGGGAAGGGATAAGGGCTGATTTCGTCCCATTTTCCTAAAGAGGAGAAAAATGACTCCTGCATATGAGTGATCCTGTCTGGCTGATATGCTGAGAGGGATCAGGGCCAAGGAGAACTTGGTCCCTTCTTAGGATCCTTGAGAAGATACAATTGTGTCAGAGGGCCGTTTTATTTAGGGTCAGGATCGGAACTGAGGAGTCAGTCTTCTTACACTCAGCATGATATTCTAAGCAGGGAGAAGGACTCATTGGCTCTTATTTCCAAAAAAAAATCAAGCTAACGTTTTTGAAACTTCTCTAAATATACCACCACCAAGAGGCAAAAATAAAACACTCCTTTGATGGCCGGCTATGTTTCTAATCTTCTATTTATTTATCTATCTAAACTCCTTGGGGTATGGAATTCATTTATTCGTCCAACAAGTATCAACTGCGTGCTTATAATACGACAGGTGTACAGCAGTGAACAAAACCAATATGGCCTCCTGGAGCTTCCACTCTGTGGGAAAATCCATCAGCCAGGTTCAAACTGGGACATGCTACATAGCAGAAAAATAAAGGCGTCCCTGAGGTTTGACAGAAGCACAGAGGAGGCAATAAATCTATGGCTTGTGAAAGATAGTGGTACCATCTTATTCTCTCACTGGGTAAGACCCGTAGTTAAAGCTGCACCTTAGCAACCAGCTATTCAAGGGAGCTGCAGTGAAATCTCTTCAAGAAGGGTAACATGGAACCCTTGTTTCCAAAAGGCTGGAGTCAGCATCTACAGTCCTCTGCCTTGGTTTCTCCCGATGAGGAAGGGCCCTTCCTTATTGACTTATTAAGAAGCAACTGATCAGAATGTTTCAAAAGCTGCAGCTGGTTGGCCGTGAAGTCCCACAACATCATGGGAGCTCATATAATTGTTTAGCTCTGACCATTTTAAATCTCCTTCCCCTCCTTTTTAGGATATGCTTCTTATTTTGGATTAGTAACACCTAAATCCTGGAATCAAGCATGAAACCTACTTTTGCAAGAGCTCAGTGTGCTGTGAAAAAGGTCTGAGGTGGATAATTAGTTTGCATCATGGTGTGTGACAAAACAATTGCCCCCCTTTCCTTCCTTCCCCTCCCCTCCCCCTCCTTCTAAGATTAACTATGACCTGGCTTTTCTAGTCTATTCCACAGAAGGAGATGGTCAATATGAGGGTTTTTTTTTTAAATAAAGATCTTGTCTCATAATCCAACATCCTTAAATAGCTTTGAAATAAAACAAATTTCTCATGAACCATTATATGCCTAGAACATAAAAATTATTTTAAGCCACTGAACAGAGTGGCTTTGGTTCAATCCCAAAGATGATTCGACCTGGAGGTCATTATTGACCTGGAGGTCTTTCCAGCCGGTCAGCCCCAATCTGAAATATACACACAATATACAATCTGAAAATACACAGGGAAGAGAGGTGGGGGAGGAAGAAAGTGTTGATAAAACTCTGTTTTTTTCTTTAGTCTTAAAATCCACAATTGCGAATTGACTGCTCAGCGATCCAAATGGCTGTGTTGTGGAAGTGGATGGAGGGCCCACAGGTTGGACACTGCAGAGCCTTTTACCTAATGACTAGCCCTTACCTGAGAGGTCCTCACTGTCCAGTTCTTCTGCGGAATTGGGCAACTGAGTAAGGCCTTACAAGTAAAAACAAATCGTTTTTCTTTTCATTCCTCAAGGGACATAAACAAAACACTTAAGAACTGAGGATGAATTTCTTAAAAATAAACATGAGCCAAATCTCTTGCCATCTCTCTCTCTTTTATGGATACCTTGAATGTATTAATCCATAAGTACGTTTCTCCAATCATTTCATTTTGTTATAGATACACAATTGAGGCAGAAAGATTCCTCAGTCTCCACTTTCAAAGCACATGAAACATGAAGGTGAATGTTTCAAATCACTCATTCATAACAGCATGCAGAAAGAAAAAAATAAAGCCTGATTGTTAGCTATTGATGTTCTGATAGATCTCTTAAATACAAATATATTTAGATGTTACATACTGATGTATGTAAGTTTTAGTTCACATTTTACTGTAAATTGAAATCCTTGGGCAAGAATGACAAACACAGTTCATTATCAATTGATGATGATCTTGGATCATCGATTTCAAAATGGTATGGCATCTGCTAACTGCAGTTTGCCTTCATCAGAAAATCTGATTTGCAAAATGATTTTTTTTTCAAAAAGAGAATTTCAAAAATCAGTGGTGTTCCTGAAAAAATGAAACCCTCAAAGCTGAAAAAGCAGTTAGGTCAGGAGATAATCAAGTGGAGCTTGAAATGCCTGTATCCGAGTTAGCACCAATGTTGGCCAGCTGGGATGGCTCTCGGCTAGCTCTGCCTGGAAGGAAAAGAGGTGAAGGGGAAAGCAGATAAACCATGGGGGGCTCAGTTAGGCGATGGCCTCCCTTTCCTCTTCCTGTATTTGCAGGCTGCTCCTTTAATGAAGTTAAAAACACCACAAAGTCATGTCTGGTTTGTGCAGACCTCCAGGTCTTCTCATTTGCACAACAACTGGCTAATCCTTCTCTGATGAGATTTGTCACTTTTGAAGATACTTGTGGACCTATTAAACAGGAATGAGGGGCATGCCTTGTTTCTTTGTTCATCTTTCCCATCTCTTATAGCCAAGCGCAAAATGTAAGCTCAGTAAGTATTTGCTGAATTAATGATTTGGGAGTAATGCTTAGTGAACTACCAACTAAAACAAATGCTCTGGAAACAAGCAACGTCAAACTGACGGCACTATTCAGAAGCTCCCAAATCAACAGAAACACTTAATGTAGAAATGGACAGTAAAAGCTTGCATTTTGTGAGTTGTTTTATAAAGAATCCAAATGAATATTGATAGCTAGGTTGGTGCTGTGAAAGAAAGCGTCATACCAGCTCTTGAAGAATTTCCATCATGACCCTTGCCAATATTCAATGGCACGTGCCAATTAAACATGGGATGATTTGAAGTCCATGGATGTTCCCAAACTATGGATTTAGGCAACTATGGGAAAGCAATGAGTAATGCAATAAATTATAGAGGCAACTGAGTAGGGATGTTATCCATTGGTTCTGAAATCTGATTGGTTGAAAGTGTTCCTATTTCTAATGGGCTTTATTCATTGTATAAAGACTGATGAATACAATTATTTGAATAATTGTTATAAATGGGCAACATAAAGTTCTCCTCTGTAGTTAATTATGAATTTGCAGTTCTCAGGAGGCTAATCCCTCACTTCTACGTGGCCCAATGAATATCAAAGCATGCTACATACATGCTTGGCACGCACTGAACCATATTAAACGAGGATGTTTCAAGTAGGCAGCTTTACTGCTGAAGGCTTGTTTCCCTGGGGAGGGCATTAGAAAGCTAACTTAAAAAAATAAAGACAAATATGTTTATGAAATATCATTGATATGCAAAGTTTCCCATTAAAAAGCGACAGACAGTTTATACACACCTCATTAAAGATGAAACTGTCATTTTTAATGGCATAAACTTTAAAATATACCAAATCCTCTGGAATCTACAGCTCAGATTATATCCAAAAGTGGGAAGCCACCTAGGTTAGTGGCGTTACATTTGTTTTTGCACTACTATTGTATTTTATGAATCTATAGTGCTCCGCCATAGTTGGATAATTTCAAAATAAATATAATTAGGAAGAGTTTACTGAAGCACTGAGCGTACAAGCAAAATTTACCTCCTAAGATTGCTTTGACTTAGGTAGTTTTCTTTCGTGATAAAAATTGTACAGCTCTCATTTTTCTCAAAGAAAAAGATGCATTTTGTGAGACAGAGAACAGTCTTCAAAAGGAAACTCCACCATTTAACAGTAAGTGGGAAATTACTTCTGGGTTTTTCTCTTGAACTTTTCATATCGTCCGCTCAAGCCCTTCCTGGTCACTTCAATTAAAATGTATTCAACGCATTTCTTTAAACTTTGTTAAACAAACGAAAGTTTACTTTTGGTCCATATGGGATTTTCTTTTGAGCAATTAATAAAATCCTAAGGTGCAGACATGATAATTTAATACACGCACGAGAATCGTCTCTTCCGCAGACGTGATTTTTGCTCCTTCGTGATGCTATCAATCACGTGCCGCACGTGCCCTAAGCCTCCTCAGACAGTGCTTCTGCTGTTGGTGTGGTTACTTCTCCTTTCTAGCAGAAATCACTGGCTTCTAAAAATGGTATGTATGGCGTAGCAATTTTAAACCAGGTTAAGGAAAACCTCAAAAATTAGAAACAGCAAGAAATCCTAGAGTTAGTTAAATTCAAGGTCAAGGTCAAGTAAAATCTAAATGCTTGGGGCTCAATTCATCAGGGTTTCCTTTTTTTTTTTTTCCTGAAAATTTTAAAACAGAATGATCAAATAAAACCTCTAGGAAACAAAAAAACTTCCCACTGGCCCTAGTATCATTCCCATTATGAAAAAATAGGCGATGGTCTCTCTCTTACCTAAGCAGCATATGTCTGATCACTTGGCCATATTATGGAATCTGTTACTTCCATCACCAGCCATAAGAGTTCAGATGCCCCGGCAGTTTTAATCTAAATGCTCAGTCAGTCATCCTGTTCTTCCTGCTTTGTCAGCTTTTGTGGAGAGTTTTTCCCTTGGTCCCATTAGCAGAAATTTGGTTCACGCCGTTAAACAGTAGCACATTGTTTCCAAACTGCATATCAAGGCTGAAACACAATCTTCAGGTCCTGCAGCCATTCGTAAACCTCTTTAGCTTTGTTCTTGAGTAGAACGTACAATGTCTGCAGAGTCCCTTGACTGAATGACAGCCTTCGAATGCCACTGTTGTGTACTCATACAGAGAGATGTGCAGAGGGGTGCATACACAGATGGTGGACATAGAGGTTGTAATAATGCGCACTGCTGGCTATTTTTCTTTAAAATGGGCTTCAGAATTTCCCCACAATTGAATAGAAAGATAAGAAATTTCATGTGCTTTTAGAATTCCATCACGGCTTGCACGACTTATGAAGTAAGTCAGGGAGAGGGAGATCCATGGGGTAGTTGCCTAAGGGCAGAGGTCTAGGGGATAAGCATGTATCTAGCACAGGCCAAACATTTTGAAACCAAAACTGAAAGTGAAAAATTATGTCAGAGGGGTTCCCAGTTTGAGCCTCACTACAATTGCATACTAAATTAAAAACTAGTTAATAACTCATTTGGGATTATAAATTCATGAGATCATCAGCTTCTAATGTACCAAGAGGTAGAAAGCAAAAGGACGGATAGACTTGAAAATAATGAAATAGCGGTGGGGCGGAGTGGGGGGGAGAGACAGAGAAAGAGAAAGACAGAGAGAGAAAGAGAGAGAGAGAGAGAGAGAGAGAGAGAGAGAGAGAGACAGAGATAGAGACAGAGACAGAGAGAGAGAGAGAGAGAACCCCAAACCCAGAGGAAGCCAGCTGACTACAGTGCAGCAAAAGCACAAGCACTATTCCAGACCATGGGCATGCTGTCACCCAAAACCTCACACGAGGGAGGTGGGTGGGGGAAGGGAGAGGGGACACACAGGGCAGAAAAAGAACAAGGCACAAGACACTTACAGAGAAGCGCCCCACATTGGAACAAACAAATAAAAACCATCACACGCACCCACACATCAATAATCATAGGAACGAGTACACCATCCGTGCTTAACGTCACTCATGCATTTCTGCCATAAATTTCAGACCATGTGGTACCAGGATTTGGCAGAGTGCTTTTTGCATTTCTCAACATGCACACATAACACAGGATTCTTCCTGTCCAGGCCTTAAGGATGAGCTCCAAAAACACAAGTGCTCAAGATCTTTCTTCAAAGATCCCTTAAGGATGAGCTCCCAAAACACAAATGCTCAAGATCTTTCTTCAAAGATCCCTTCCATCACCCTAGTCTAGGAATCCCACTCTTACACTCACATTTATCTTTACTGTACTGTCAATTATATCCTTAAAGACACATTGTGGCTGACTGTTGTTTGGTTTCTTTTTGGAGAAAATCCATTTGCTTTTGAATCATGCCCATGCACTTCTAACCTCCCAATACATGCTTATTCTAATCAGATATTGGTAAGAACAAAAGGTCAACATACATAAACAACTGATATACTTCATACATACTCTAGCAACACAAGCTTGAATAAAATATTTTAATGAGTCTTCAAAGGGAAAACATTTTGTAAAATTATTTTTTTTCCTTTTTAGAAAAGAAAAGAGAAGTATGGAAAGAAATCCAGTATGAAAACTTTTAAGACCAGTACAATGGTCACAACTGGCTGACCCAGTACGTCTTGTCATTTAAGTTGTCAAGTTATCAAACCACAACATTTTTCTAGGCCCAGATCTCCAACATGAGCATCTCAAGATTATTCTCAAATGAATCTAAGTCACATGGTTGTTATATGGAAGAAGCTGGGTTTTACCCATAAGCCACTTGAATAAAGTCAGTTCTGTATCCTCATCTCCTTGGAAACGTGGTCCCCTGCTTTGTAACTCCAATCATATTCTATTGCCTTTTCTATCCTGACAACTGACCTGGAAGACTTTCTCCCCCTGTTAAGTAAAATTCTAGATATTACTTTGGCTTTCATTAAAGCTTTTTGCTGTGAGCTGGAGAGTATGCTGTTGAAAAGAGGGGTCAGATCCCTTTGGGAGGATGCTGTGAGGGTTTTAGACAAGTTGGAGCATGTATTTATAAATGCATTTTATAGGAATCAACCTGGATTATCACTTCTCTCTACCCGCTAAGGAACCATATATTATATATGATGATCATATATTTTATATATATATATATATATATATATATATACACACATATATATATATATATTAATATTATACTATTTTTACTTCTTTTTTTTCCTCCCCTAATTTCTTGGCTGTAGGTATACTTCTCACTCACTGCTGGTCAATAACATCCTACTGGGACATTGCTGGCTTGAACACTATCCCTGAACTAGTAAGACAGTGGTTGTTTCTCACAGTACACAGGCATCTCTATTTCCTGTCACACGAATGCTAGAGTCCTATTCCAAGTGTCTCTTTATTATACCACAAAAAGAGATCACCTTCACTTTCTTTCTCCATAGAGAAATACTGTTCAAATACCAGTATCCTAAGATCAGGACTGGTTCCCTAAATTAATTTCTCATTTTTCAGCTCAGGGGACATATTTTTTTTTTCTGTTATTTTTTTGTGTGTGTGGTACGCGGGCCTCTCACTGTCGTGGCCTCTCCCGTCGCGGAGCACAGGCTCCAGGCGCGCAGGCCCAGCGGCCATGGCTCACGGGCCCAGCCGCTCCGCGGCAGGTGGGATCCTCCCGGACCGGGGCACGAACCCGCGTCCCCTGCATCGGCAGGCGGACTCTCAACCACTGCGCCACCAGGGAAGCCCAGGGGGACATATTTTTTACCTTGAATACCCCACCCAACTCCAAGACCTACAACTATTAGAGTCATATAACTACACAAATGTTACTGAAGGGACCTAGAAAACAGAAGCCTGGAGTCTTGAGATAAATGATCAGTATCTCTTCAAAGATCTCACAGAATTCAGGAATCTTATGATTACATTTGACCCTGGAGTTAATTACAGAAAGCTCAGAACTTAAAGCATCTTAAAAAGAATAGAACAAAAATCTCTTGAACTACATTAAAAATAGCCTTAAAGCTCTGAGAATAATCGATAAAAGTCAGGAAGTGCTCAATTAATGATGAAACCTACAAATAACTGAGCTTAATGGAGTGCAGTGTCTGAGATGCAGTGAGCACCATGGGGCATTACCTTGGAAAGTGGAAGTTTTTTACCTAATTGATCTCTCATGATTGTTGGTGTATCTGGCCCTTTAACTAATTTTATGAACTTTTCCCTTTGTGCCAGTGACAGGGAGGGCAGGGGGAGGTGGGTTAGGGTGGGGAGGGATACTGCCCCATACCCAAGTTTGTTTTACTTTCTCAGAATTTTTCATCAGAAGGTCCAAATATGGGGGTGGTCAGCCAAGCATAAAGGCCTGACCTTCAAGGACGGCTCACACAGCATAGGTTTTGCTCAGAGATTTCTAACTGGTTAAGTCCTCAAATGCAGGTCTGTTTAAGAAGGTCAGTCGTGCTAGGAAGAGCTGTTTCTCTAAAAGTTGAATGAACACCATAGGGTTGGCTGATCACCTCTTGTCATTTAACTGATAGATTTCAATCCTGCAAAATGTGCAAAGCGATGTAAGTAGGCCCTTTACCAAATAATTCCCTTGAATTCAGTTATTAAAATTCAGCCCATTTTTAACTAACATATCTTTCTCCAAAGCACAATATCGCCAGGGTGAGATGTGAGCTAAGTAATACAGTAATATACAGATGAAACATGATTCTCATTTTCTGATTGGAGACATTATAGAAAAGTGAATGGACCTATTCCAACCTAGGAAGTCAGTGGAGAAATTCGGAAAAGGATTTCCTCATGCCCCCTGCTGAGCTTTATTTACTCGGTTTTTATCAGCTTTTGGCTAACATCCTGACGAGTTTTTTTTTTTAGTATTTTGCCTACCAGGTACCCACACACAAATGATTTTTTTTAAAGTCCCAGTTAATGCTGTTGAAATGTACATATGGTATCATTCTTGTTTGAAGATGTTTCCCGCCAAATGGTAGCATAAACTTTTATGCACACATGGAGATTAAGGGTGAACCTGCAAGAGGCCGTGGAGGTAAATATGATAATTAAAGAAGAACAATGTTCTTCCTCATCCCTACGTCATGAATTTAAACAGGAATCTTCCGCCCTGACCTGTCCTTCAGTCTCGACTACTAAGTGACATAAATGACTCCTCTTCAAAATGTACCTAAGATTCTAGCCTATGAACGAAGAAAGCAACTGGGCCTTTAATTCAGATGCTATGATTTTTAGGCAATTAGGGTTTTTTTTGGAGTCCCTTATATTTCAATGTCTGGCGGCATTATAGAATTAAGGGCTACGTGCAGCTAAAACTCCTGAAGCCCAGCCAGCCGACAGGGAGGCCTCATCTTAGATTGCAACCATTGAACACTGAACTCACAACAGAAATGACAAGACTCGACATCCTTTCAAGCCTCACAAATTAGAGTATATTTATGAGGTCAGTCTACTCGGAACACAGTTTCCCTTGAAGACTACATTTCTCTTTTTCCCAGGCTTGCCTTGCTGCTCAGCAGTGCTGAGAAGGTAGATAAACAGTAATGTGGTACCAACCGTGGACTGCTGGTTCTGTCGTCGCCGTGGTGTCTACAGACGGGAACAGAGGATTGGAGGAAGGGAAGAAACAGGAGGAACGGCATGCAAAAAAAGGGAAAATGGAAAAAAATGGAACAGATAATATATGAGCAAGCTTTCAAAGAACATCGCGTGACAAGCAATAATAAATGAAAAGCCAAAAGCATTTGAAGTGAGTTGCACTGTTTTAAGACATGCCTTCAGCTCAAAGCTGCGAGCCAGTGAGGAAAACAGTAGATTCTTTGGTTCTGGGGGTCTTGCCAGGATACATCTACTTGCTAGTCAATAGTCAGGGGAACATGCAAAGTGATGAGAAACACCAGTGCAAACTCAGTGACTGGTAGATGGCTCTGAACGCACCAAGGCTCAGGACTGTGACAGAAAAGCTCAGTCGGGAGGCTGGCTGAACAACAGATTCATACATTCAAACATTGCCTTTGTTTTAACCCAACCCACCCAGGCACTCAGGCTTTAGACTGCCAATCAGGCGTCGCTGAATCAATTGCACATTTAGGATCCTTTTATGGCTCATGCGCAGATGCCTGTAGATGAATGTACGGGTTCAAGTTTTCCATCCAGTGTGTTATTTCAGCAGGGTTCGGCTGAAAAGTTCAATTAACTGGGAGGCCAGGGGAATGAACATGTTAAAGGCTTTCAGATTAGTTTCTATACACACACACAGACACACACACACACACACAGACACACACACACACACGCACACGCTGTCATACTCACCACTCAGCCATCCTCCACTCTGCGCATCTTACTATGTTACAATCTAAGGGCAAGAAGTCTTGCATGGAAAACACCCAAGTCCACATAATTTGCCAAATGCCACTTCTCATCATGTGACATTCCAAAAATTAAAGCATCCAGCCGTCCCTTTGCTCACGATCCAGAACCACATTCACTGCTGTGAGCTGCCAGGAGTCCTGCCTTCAGGGTGAATCAGGAGATGGCACGTGAGGTTTTTTCACTGCCAGATGCACTTGTTATGGAAGAAACCGTGGTTTGTCTCTTCTTCTATTTCTAATGCCGTTCAAGTTTTCTCCTTCTACCAGGCTTCAAAACCAGGCCTGCTATACTGGCTCTTCTTCACAGGAAATTCCTCAGGGGGCTCCAGAAATTTTCTTTTTCTTTTTGGCTAGAGGGGAAGTGGGATAAATATCTAACAAAATGCACGGCAACATTCCTCTCCCAGAGTCGTTTTAATACCCCTCTTCTAGCCAACTTCATTCCAATGTCAACCCATCTGGCCGGGTTTTAATTTTCAGTTCTACCTTCTCAAGGTGTCTCCCTCCACGATGCCTTTCTGGCCAGAAAGGAGTGGAGACACTCACACATGAGCTGGTCATGTCGAGCTGTAGTGGGATTCTGGGTTGACACTGCAAGCAGTTACCTGTCCTTTTTTTATCATGCAGCCATTTAGCTGGTAATTATTTTCACGAGTTCTGGAGACACCAAAAGACGCTTTTGGACTCGACATAGGCAATGTTTAAATGCACCAGAATGCCAAATGTAACATTTTTTTTTTGGTCCAACGAGCCTGGTGCTTCTGATTTATAAATATGACACATGAATTCACACCAGTGTTCCCCTTCAATTCCCCTTTCCTCAGAACCCTAGACCATCAAAAAATCAGAGCCCTTCTAAGGAGCCAGAATTAACGAGAAGTCCGAGAGGCCACTACAGCTTAATATAACTTATAGCTGAGTTTCTGAAGAACAGATGAAGGAAAGAAAAACATAAAATAAACCACACCAGAACGCAATACTTACTTACAAGTCTGTATGCATAAAAAAGCAGTTAAAAAACAATACCGGAAATTGTTCAGATGAAACATCTCTACATCAGATGCTCATGACACGTCTGACACGTCTCCTTACTTGAAACATTCAAGTCAAGTGTTAGTTTGAGGTGCTTTCAATTGCAGGGGCAAAATCAAATGCACATTTGTACAGAAACACTTATATGAAAGTTAATATCTTTTATGGCTAGACACTGGCTTCTTTCCAAAATTAATTAAAAAAAAAACAATAAACATTTTGGCTCGTTATTTTTGTAGCAGCACTTCTAATATGCTTTATTTTCACCAGGTAAATCATTAGTATAAAATGAAAAAAAGGGGTTGGAGTAAAATCTAAGGGTCCTCAAAAGTAATGTCTTAGCATTAACCGACGACTTCCCAATTTACTGTCTGCCTACATCACAACATCACGTCAGCTTTATGACGAAATCAAACTAAGGGAAGCTGGGTGTACACTGCCCTGTGGGTACCAGAGAACAAATGAAGGGAAGTTCACAGTGCAGCCTGCCTCCCCATTCTGGGGATGGGAAATCCATCAATTGCGCCCAACAGGGAAGAGAAAGGGATGTTGAGAAGGAAAACACACAGTTCTAAAACAGTGAAAAGCAAACACATGTTCAAGTCAAACAACACAGTTACTGCAGCTGGGAATGGCAAAACCAGGGATCAGCAATGGAGTGGCAGAGGGCAGCAGACACACAGGCTTGGCTACAAAGTTGAGACCGAGATTGAGGGTGGATGGGGGAGTCGCTGATTCCATTTCTCTAAGAGCATCTGGTGTGGTATCTGAACAGAGGCTATTTCAAGTAAAGAATGAAAAAAAAAAATCTTTAGAAGTGACTTTGTGCTCCCCGCAGGAGAGCACTGTGACAGAATCTAATTCTCCTTCATAATTGCATTACGACGTCATGCAGAAACCAGACACCCTGGCTCTGAAGTGAGTGCGGCTCTGTGAAGTAGGATTTATTAAGGTATCTTAATCAGGAGACTGGAGAGATGTGCTAGCCCACCCCTGTGAATCAACTTGTGGGGTCACTATATTGTTTGATAACATTCTAAGTGTACAGGCAAAATGCAAACAGTAACTTTCCAATAGAACATAACGTAGGCTCTAATTAACTTGAAAAATGAGAGTGCCTAATTGCCCTAACAGAAGCTGTTTCAAACTTCATTCTGCGGCTGCCTTTAAAAAATAATCTTTGCGCTAGGCCTAGGAGAAAAATAGGTCACAGAAAGTTGAGCTGGACTTACGGTGGTGTAGGGTTATGAAATTAAAAAAGCCTCTTTGAGCTACTGTCTCTTTTAATTTTAAGTACAATGAGGGAGAACTTTATTGTACATTTATTTTATATGGTCAAGAAAAAGCAGTCCCACGTTCCTGCAAACCCAGTAAGTGTGTATGGTCTTAATAGTCACTCTCTAGCTGTTTTATGAGTATAATTAAACAAGGTATCCAAGGGCAGGGCCTGCACTGCTATCTGAAAGATGAACATTTCACTGAATATCGACTTTCAGTCTCCCAGGCATACAAACAGTTTATGGGACCCTACCTTGAATACATTAAACATCACCTATATTTCACAGTGGCAGTATCAGATATTTTCAAAATCAAAAGGCTCAGACAGTGTGTCAGATTAGAGACACCATCCATTTAACCAAGTAGCAAAAAAACCCCAAAACCAAAAACAACAACAAAAAAAACCGCATGCGAGGCAGCTGGGCAATGTTTAGCTGAAACAGTCATGTGTAAGCTCCACTGTGGCACATTCTAATCCTTTCATATGGATTCTCTCCAACTTAGAATTGTTCATTGAGTGTGACAGACTGGGGGTTTAAAACTAATCCACAAATTAGTCCGTGGTCTCAAACACAACGGGTGCCATAAATGAAAATGAAAATCCAGGAACGAAATTAAATTCACAACCTTAAATACTTTTTCTTCTCCAACTGCGCTATGGTACTCCTGCTTTATAATGCCCAGATTCACTGCAAGGCTGCATTTGGGGGGAAGGGGGGACGGTATGAGTAGGCTGTACATTAAAAAATGCATAGGGTAATAACCCAATCTGCTCAAAAGCAGAGCTTAATTGTAAAGAATTTAAATTCTGCCATTTTGATTGTCATAAGCGTAAATGAAAGCATACTAAGCAGTCCAGACATATTTTAATACACTTTCTCTCAGTTTATTTTCTTACCTAAAGTCAATAAGGAGCCAATGGGTTTTCTTAATTGAATTCCCCTTCAGTTTGTGTTATGGAGCTGCTTTAAAGCTAGACGCTAGGGTAGGCAAGGACTTCCCCTGACGGTTTTATTCTCACGATGGTGCTGTGCTGGCCAATATATATTAAGTATAGTTCCCTCTTTTTCTTTCTTCTTGACATATTTGAAATCTATTGAAAGCAAACATACCTGCTGGAAAATTAAACTTTGAAATTTATTTTCTACTGGTTTCCTGGTTAATTTTCTTTCCATCTATGTTCAGCTTTAATTAAACTCCCATTGCTCAGGGATGGGAGAAATGGATAGGAACAGAACTGAAGCTAAAAGGCCCGAATAGGAGACTCACAAGAAAGCTTTCTTCTGTCTTCCTGTCATCTCCCCTTTGAGTGAAGAGATTGTGTGCCACGGAACAGCAGGAAGGGGAGTAGGTTGTTGTTGTTTTTTCTTTCTTTTTGGTTAATTTCAAGTTTTGTTAAAAGCTTCTTCAGAATTGTTCACAAGTGCTACTGTACCCCTGAGATCGTCTCATTTGCAAACCAGATGTTCTCAAAATAATAATAATAATAACCACCAGTACCCTGGTTCCATTTAACAAGGAAAACAATTCCTATCCTATGTTGTGTCCCTGCTGGGTGGGAGGAGGGACAGAGAGGGGTGAGGCACCGGTGAGGGGAGGAAAAGAGAGGGATGCAGGAGGGTGATGGTGGGGAGAGGGCAGCAGCTCTAGAAGTAGTAGTTTATATTCATCTCCTGGAGGGCTGGGTCCTTCCTGCCAAGTCCTTTATTTCCCACCACTGAGATAGCTCCAACTTTCTAATCCTAAGAAACCTGTATTTATGAGATTATTCTTTTGCACTGTTGTGCATGAATCTTTAGTATGAAAACATGTCAATTCCCTCTCTCTTGGATTATTTTTCAACAAGGAACATAAGAGCATGGAAATGATGATAGAAGCATTAGGAAAAAAAAAAATCTCACTGAC